AATAAAAGTATATAACATTCCCCCTCTAGGGTAATTCCTACAGGCAAGGCTTGTTATCTTTGTTTAAAGTATAAACTGTTATCTCTTGTTTTATCAAACTGCCTCAGAGAGAAGGGTATAGTTTCTTACAGACTAAGGAATTATACTTACCTCTTAGACATCGCTATAAACCTGTAAAGGATCCCTGTAGCCGTGTCATTGTTATAGTACTGCTGTTAAGAAGGCCATGGTACTGTAACAGTATATATAATATCAATGCATGTTATTTTGATATAAAGTGCATAGATATTATTTGTGCAAATATACAACAAGCTCTATAATAAAAGGTAGTAAAAAGTAAAAAAAAAAATTGTTATGTATTAATGAATAGATGAATAGTAATGTAGCTAAACCATACCTTTTTACATGTCCTTAATTAATAAAGATAACAATAGTCTAAATCTTATAAATAGACATTGTATATTCTATAAACCTGTAAGTTTATTAAAAAAAAAAAAATGTCATCACATAGTAACTGATTAGTAAAACAAAATGCAATTTTAAGTGCTTTTAAAGAACTTAATGATTCTCAAACCAATTCTAAGTTATCAAGTTATAGAAGTTTTGCAAAAAAATATGGCATCCCAGAAACCACTTTCAAACATGCTATTAAAAATGATGGCCCTCTTGATCATCTAGGCCCAGCCAAAGTTTTAACCGACCATGAAGAGCAACAACTTGTTGGTTATTGTTTAAATATGCAGAAGCTTGGATTCGGATTGGCAAGGTCAAGGGTGAACCAATGCATAATAAATATTGTTCACCAAAGTAACAGATCTCACCCTTTTAAAGAAAGTGGACCAGGTCAATCATGGTGGGAACGATTTATGAAAAACCACCTAGAGCTTTCATTTCATATCCCACAAGCTTTGAACGAAGCACAAGCACAAAGAGCCAACCCTATTATTGTCAAAGATCACTTCTAGAAGCTTTAAGCAATAATTGAAAATCATTCACTTACCTCAGATCAGATTTGGAATATGGTCTTTTTTATACTTTTTTTTTTTATTTTTTATTTTTTTTAATTATCTTTTTATATTAGGACAAGATGGGCTTCATCATTAATCCAACTCTTCAAAAAGTAATCACAAAGAAGGATGCCTGTTAAGTTCATCAGGTTTCACATGAAAATTCTCAAGAACACATTTCTGTATATCCAACAATCTTAGCAACTGGGACATATATACTGCCATTAATTATCTACAAAGGAAAGCACATGATTCCTGGCCTCTTGAATAGTGCATCTGCAGGTTCTGTTATAGGATTCACAGATACCAGCTATATAAAAGAATGCCTTTTTCAAAAATATATCAAACATTTCATTCATTCAATTCCACCTACTTGCCCTGTTTTATTAATTCTTGACAGTTATAAAAGCCATGTTAGTTATGCTTGTGCTAGCCTTTGCTACAACAATAACATTCTCCTCTATGCACTTTTGCCCCACACAACCTATATACTTCAACCTGCAGAACTTTCTTTCACTTATCTCAAACAAGCTTATGATAAAGGTTGTGAACAGCTTTGTTTAAATAATAATGATGAATTAGTTATCAAACATACATTTGCTAAGGTCTTTAGTTTAGCTTATATTAAAACTTATACACCTATGGCTATTTGCAATTTCTTCAAAGCAACTGGAATCTGGCTATTTAATCTAAATGAAATTAGTCCCAACTGTCTTGATCCTTCTCTGGCAACAGAACAGTTCGATACTTTATCAATGCAACCTTCTTTACAACCTTCTATACCAACTTCGTCTTTATAACCTTCTACTTCACCTTTACAAACTTCTTCTAACCTAAATCCAAATTCTACACTTATCTCTAATAAAAAAAGATCATTAAAAACTAAGATTAAAACACTTAATATTAGGGTTGAGCAGTTGGAAACAGAGTTGAAAGTGACAAAAGATGAATTAAAAACTTTTAAAAGCCCTAGCATCTGCTCTTTATGTTTAGCACTTAAGTACCCTCTTCCTTATACTCTACAGTTAGTTGAAAATTCAGATCAAGCTGCGAACTAGCCAGAAGCAAGTTTACAAAAAGAAAAAAAAGAAAAACTATGCTGTTTTCTCAACTTCTTACAAATGAAACATCCCTGAGGTTATTAAAAGATGCAAAGGAGGAAGCTGAGAGAAAAGCCAATGAGATCAAACAAAAAAAGAGGCTGCTATGCAAAAACGAATAGCTAGAGCACAAAAGAAGAAAGAATTAGAATGTACTAAAGCAGAAAGACAACGTATTAGAGAGAAGAAAAAAAAAAATTAGATGATCATTATATATAAACAGGAGGAACCGTTAATGTTGCACCAAGTAAGAGATTATATCCATTATACTTGAAGTTATATATAAATAATTTCAGTTTAACTGATCACCCTGTGTGAATGATGAGGCGAAGGATTATATCCATAATATAGATTTTAGAATAAACACAAAATAAATAATTTTATTATTGATTGACTACATCGTGTGAAGGATTAACATGTAATATTGATGGTTTCTCCTGTTTTATATATATGCGCCATTTTTGGTAAATTGTCTAAAATTATAAATTTTGAAAAGATTTAATTCAATCTTAGTAAAAATTTTTTTTTATATTGAAAATATTTTTAATTTTAAATAAAATTATTATTTTAAAAGTTACATTATCTTATTTCCAAAAAATTTTATAATTTTTAATATAATTTATTTAAAGTTTTATTATGATCAAAGTTAACTGTACCATAATATCTATCTACTTTATTATTTAAAAAAATAACTATAATACTTGTTATTAAATTTTTACTTCATCTTAATTAACAAATATATTATAAAATTTAAATTTCTTACTATATTTTAAAATTAATAACTTATCTTTTTACCTTTTAGTTTTACTTTATACTCATTATAATCTTTTTTTCTTTTTTTTTGGTATTAAGATAAGGTCTTGCTCATATCTTTATTGGTAGTTTTTAAAGTTAGTAACTTCATGAAGTTACTATATACAAGAATACTTCTATATATAAATGCTATGACCAAGGCCAACACTTGCAGTTGGACTAACTGTTAAACTGCTAACTATATATAACTAACTTAAGTACAAATAAGAAGAAAACTACATTCAAGAGTGAAGCTCAGACATATTTATCTGTGACATAAACCTACTAGAGTAGTCAAAACTCCTCTAGATTTGGATAGTTAAAATATAATTAAATGAGATATTGTATTTGATCCAAAGAAATCTTTTTTTTTTAATTCAATTTGCTTTAAAATTATATATAATAATCAAATATCAAACTAATTTCTTATATATAATTACTAAGCTTAAAGCTAGATAAGCCTTAGCCACTTCTGTTAGTTTAGGTCACAGATAAACTAGTCTGAGCTTTTATTTTTTTTATAATATTTTTAAAAGTAAATTTATGCTTTATGTAAAAATTTCAAATAAATATTTAATAAAAATAGAAGTATGGCCTTATTATTAATATTAAAAAAAAAAACTATATAAAATAAAACCTAAAAGCTTATTAGAAAAGATATATAAAATATTGTTACTACTATTTGCAGCAGATGTAGTAGATATAGTAATAGTAAAAACACTAAGTAAACTTATTACAGAAGTTAACAAGAGAAATAGACTATAAGATTTCAGTTTCAAAATAAAAGAAAATCTATAATAACAAAAAGAAAATAAAATAAAAAACATTAACAAAATTAAAGAAATAGCCAAAATAAAAACTAACAGAAAAAAAAAAGTTAAAAGAAAAATAAAGTATGCAAAACAAATAAAGAAGAAGCAATTACAAATAAAAAACTAAGAAAGATAGTACAAAAACAAAATACAGAAAAAGTAAAAAGAAATAAAAAGACTTAATAATATAATTCAAGTTCAAAAAAAAAATATATATATATATATAAAGAAAATAGATAATAATATAACAAGATAATATAGCAAAATAATACAACAGAAGTACTGCTAAAGCAAAGCATCTGAGCACTAAATAATAGACTATATAATAATAAAATACTAGCAATTACAAAAATTCTTATATATAATATTTTAAAGTAAACAAAAAAACAAAAACCAGTAAAATAAAATAAATACTTATGCAATTAGATATATTATAAAAATAAAAGAAGTCTTTGTAAAAGACAACAGTTAGATTAAAATATCATTTAACTATAAAAAAGAAGAAGCAATTAACTAACCAAACAAGAAAAGATTAAAGTTGATTTAAGATAATTTCAGATAAAATACAAGATCAAGTAAAAGGCAAAAAAGATTAGAAAAATGCAGTAAACAAGTATAAAATAAAAAGTTAACAACTAAAAAAAGTAAAAAAAAAGAAAATATAAAACAACAAGAATTTAAATAAAGAAAAATATATTAAAACAGAGCTAAAAAACAAGTTAAAAACAAAACAGAAACTAAGAGCTTATAAGCAAAAGAGTCAAAAAACAAGAAGTACTAGAATATTTAACAATTTGAGACCTACTATTAAATATTAATAAAAAAGAAATTAGGTATATATGCAAAAGCATTAAGGATATATACATAATACAAATTAAAAGATTATATAATATAAGGCTCTAACAGTAATAAAACTAAGTTTTATAAAAAAAAGAAATACCTTATAGCTTTACTATTTGGTAATAATAAGTTAGCATAAATAACAGAAAAAAATAAAGATTATATGGGATAACATCAATAAAAATGAGACAAATTTATTAGATAGATTTGATCTATTTTTATTGATGTTACCTCATATGCAAAGAAAAAAGCAAAATTAGTATATAGCAAAATTATTAGACATTTTTAAAGAAGTATTAGAAGTATTACTATTATGATATTTAAAGAATAAAAAAATAAAAGCAGTATATATATCATTTAAAAAAATGAAACTTAAAAAAAGTTTGCAATAATTATATTTAAAAGTGTTCAAAAAGCAGAAACAGCTTAAACAGTACCAATATAGTATAATAATTATTAAGTAAGTTAAAAGAATCTGAAAAAAAAACACAAAAAAAAGAGAAATTAAGGACAAAGACAAGAAATATTAAAAATAAACAATAAAAAACAAGAAGTATCAAAAATCAAAAGCATAAAACAAAAATATCAAGTAAAAGATATATAGGAATAGAAAATGATCTTTAGATTTAAAATACAAAAAAATAATTAAAAGATAAAAATAACAATACAAAAAAAAAAAGAAAGTTAAGTTAGATATACAAGTTTAAATAAAAACTGTATAAATAAAAGATGTTTTATACCAAAACTTAAATAGACTAAATAAAATAAAAAGAATATAGCTAAGCATAAGAGAAAGCTTAACTAATTACTTTTAAGAGTGTTTTAGTTAAAGTTAAAAATACAAATAAAAAAATTAAAGATTTTTTGCAAAATAAAAAAAAAATATTTGAAGAAAAAGAAAAAAAAAGTAAAAAAAAAAAAAGTTAAAAACATCAAAATAAGATAAAAGCAATAAAAAAAAAAAAATCTGTATACACTTTTTTCTGAACATATAAGTTTTGAAGTAAAGTAACTCTTTTGTTAAAAATAGAAGCAAATAATAAAACAAAACTGGCTAAAGTATTTACTAAAACAAGGGCTCTTGCCCTTGTTCTAAGAAAAAGATTCTTTACAGAATCATAATATACAAAAAGCATAAAAACAACAAAAAAAATAATATCAACAAGCAATAGAAAAAAAGTAAAAAAAAAACAAAGAAAACACATCAAGCTCTTCAAACTTGATAACTGACATAGAAGAGGCTATTAAACACAAACAAAAAGAAAAACAGGTACTAAAAGAAATCTTTAATAAAAACCCAACAAGTTGGAACAAACAAGTTAAACTAGAAATAGAAAAAACAAAAGCTATTTAAGACCAAAAAGTAAACAAAAATAACATGTTCAAAAATACTATAAACATAACAACAAACAACATATCTAAGGAACAGATAATATTAGACAACTTAGAGGAAATTGAAAATACAACAGAAAAGAAGCTAGATATAACAAAAACTTGCAAAGTAATAGTTTGTCAAATGAAGCATATAAAACTAACTCCTACAATGACTTACAAAGAGACAGTGATAAACAAAAAGACTCAAAAGAAACATTAACTAAACAGTGGTCCAAAATTAAGAAGAGGACAGTCTACCTACTCCTCCTATATGCTCAGAAGCCAAATCAGATCAAAAAATAAAAATGCTCTAATGATAGATATTCAAAGCATGTACAGCTTTTTTAATAAAATTATAGTTTCATTATTTAAGAACTTTAAAGAAGACATCATAGCAGCAAAACAATACTTTACAAAAAGAACATATATATACTTAGAAATTGTATTTGAAAACAAAGACAAATTAAAACATTATGCTATCAAGAATATTAATATTTTTGACAGCACCTTCTTCAGCTTTATTTTTACAGATTCAAGAAAATTATTTCTTTCAGTCAAGATCAGAAATGTTCCACTAGGTAACAAAGAAGCAATATCAGATGCTATAAAAGAAGCCTTTGAGTTTGTTGGCAAAATCACATTAATTAAGCTCTTACTAATTGAAGAAACACCTTACCTTATAAACCAATAAATTATAATCTTTAAAACTCAGATAACTCTAACCTAGAAAACAAAATACCTTATTTTACATATGTATAAAACAATAAGGCCACAACAGAATGAAAATTAGCATCTAAGATGTACTACTTTTGTGAAAAAGAAGGTCATATTAAAAAAAAATATTAACAATTTCAGAACTTAGTAAATTTATGAATTAGCTACCAACAATACAAAGAGAACAAATATAACAGAAGACTTTCAAATAACTTTTAGAAATTAAATAAAACTCTAGAAAGTACTGAACAAAGCAATGAAGAACTCCTACTACCAGTAAACCCTAATCAGCAAGAACAAATGATACTAAAGATAATACACATATGACCTTAGAAGAAACTGATCCTAACTATTAGCAAAACCTTTAGCTTCTGGTTCTAGCAGAATTAGCTACAACAAATAACAGCTCAGATAAACAAATGCAAG